CTCGAAATATAATTGGCTAGTGCCATAAAAAAGTCACATGGCCGGAAAATTTTTTGTGGGTGAGCTACTAACGTCCAAATCCAATGCCAGTTTTTTTTCTCCATAAAGCAACTCTGCTCAGCCATAAGCTCCATATACTGAATGTATTATAACTTTTTAGGTGAAATTAAACCCCCTTAGATTCAATGATTGTTTAAAGTGAGTTTAAATCTGACGATCTCGGAGATGGCGGAGATTTCAAGTTCCTGCAACATATGAATTTTGATAAAAATACTAATAAAGAATGTTATACTCATTGCCCTTATAGCCTTTTTAAGTCTCATTTTTATCGCGGGATCGTATAAAGTAAGGAAAAGGGTCTAGACATTATTCGCATTATTCATTAATAAAAAAATCGCACCATGAGAAATAATTCTGCAGGAGAGTGACACCGCATTAATACAGGCCATTGATTATTAAAGCCAGTCAAGGTTTTATTGCACATTCGAACTGATAAACCTGAATATCAAGTGATTGCTATCGTTATAAAAATATTAGTTAACTATTAGTTAACTATACTCCGACAGCCTCTGGAGGCCGTCGGGGACACAAAATTTATGTATAAAATTGTCTAAGCCACTGTCGAAGTGCTGTTGAGACATACTTATAATAATAATAAAAAATAGCTAATTTATTAGCTATCGTACCCCGAATTTCATTATTTCAACCTTGACTAAAAACATGTATATGGACCCGTGGCCGTTAAAACTTTATTTTTTCCAGAACAATTGTATAAATTTTTGTATACCCGATTCATTTCAGCATGGATCGGTGCCGAGATAAGTCTCATGATTTGATGGCCATGAGATTATTCATGCATGTAATGGCTATCAACGATAAAAATTAAATTACCATTATGTGGTTGTGTTAAACTAACGCACATTTATGTTTACAGATACTTATTTCTGTATTTATGTATTTATGTATTTACGGGGCGATGCTAGATATTTGATCAACATGCAATATTTCCGTTATAATGCATAAATAATAAAGTGTATAATGGTATGGTTATTCTAAATTTGTAAATCGGGCTTAAATATCGATATATAGCGTGTAAAATTATTACCGTACCCATGTCCAATAATTGTGATGCCGAATTTAGTAAACAATGCGCCCTGGTTAATTATTGTTTTGTGATATATAAGACAATAGTATCCTTTTTATATAAATCTTTCAATTTTTGATTTTTTTTTTACCGATATTTCACCTTCTCACACTAGATTGTTTTTGTGTTGATAAGATGATTGCTGGAACTATTTGTACGGGTATACTTAGTCATACAAAAAATTTCGTTTCTAGAGCCTCTGACTATGTATGTTGTGAGATTGAACATGCTCGTAATTACCATTTGGTGGCCCAGTACTTTGGCGAAAGTAATCGTCTGTTCCGCAAAAATATGCTAGTTATCCTTTAATAATATAGTCTTTTTAGGTGCAGTCATAACCTTTCAAGGTAGGCCTAGGATCTGACTGTTTCCTCCCTAAAATTTATTTTTTTATTCTACTCTTATAAAAACACTGCTTTGAGGGCGCGATCATCAACTATCATTGTCCTGTTGTAAGGAGAGGAAGACCGAATGAGCTTTCTGTGGTTAGTCCACCGAACTACAAGATAAGAAATAGTTTGAATGTATCCACCTCAAAATCTAAATAAATAGATCTACCTTTTTTTTCTTTTGCCCTGGGCGTGATCGTCATCCTCAATATGGGGCGTGTGTAAGAAGGAAGGTGACGCAGACTTTCTAAACAACCAAACCACACCGCAGAGAGTGATTGAATGTATCCACCAGAAAAAAATATATATAAACGTAAATAAATTTAATTTTCGATACAGGCATAGGTAGTTGTCCACCGTTTTCTTAATGCTATATGAGTGATATATTTTTTATATTAATATTTTTTATCTAATTCCGACACAGGTAGAAAAGTGTCGATGTAAAATAAAAATTTACAAAGTATATGCCCCCTTCTCTTCTATGTAAATATGCATACACAGCAATAAAAATGAATCTGATATTTTATTATCATATACTTGTTACAAACCGCTATAAGTCATTGAAATTGCTAAATCGATAAAATCAGTAAAAATTGCTATATTATCACTATACCTGCAAAATGGTTAAAACTAACTACTATAATAGTTTGAATCCTGCCGTATCACAGGCATTAATCAATCTGCAATATAGGTAATGAAACGCCTAAAATATGGTGTTCTCGTATTCGTTATCCATTTAGGACACTTCTAGAAAATAATCCAAAATACTTCTCCAAGAATGGATTTATCTATATGACTGAAAGATCTAGAAATAGGAGATTTACGGTTGAAAAGCATTCATTTTATATTTATTGTACTGTATGTGACACTTTGGTATTTATCCACAAAAATACTATCGAATATGCTAGTAATCACCTGAAGAAATGCATTACTAAAAAACATCTTGCATATTCTAAAGCTGTATGGAAAAATGGAAGAGTGCCAAGCCGAAAGAGTATATCATTGCTCAGTCCCGATGAGATTGAAAAAATTTATCAAACTTATTAGGTTATGTACAGCAAAGGTTTGGCTCATTATAGTTATGATTATTCACATGAAGGTAGGAAAAGGATTGTAAATCGTTTAATTAATAATGCAAAAGTTATCCAACAGGTTTGGAGAGCTTTCAAGTTGAGACCCAAAACATAGGCGAAACTAGTTTGGAATATAGTAAGAAATGATGGTACTCCCGATGAGAAGAAGTTTTTAGATATAACTTCTCGCGATATAAGAATTCCTGATGATCGATATATATAGTATATTGATCGAAAAATTCTAGCTAAAGATGTACCTGCATATCATCAAAATGGCCTATATGATCATTATACTCTATACAAGTGGGCAAAAAAAAAGAGAGATCAGTTACATAAACAATTAAATTTTGTAGCATATATACTTGCTTTTATAGAATTACATTGACAAGGTTATAGAATCGTTGAATATTCAGGATGGACTTATATGTTAAAGTGGCTATATTACCGTATTAATGAATCTGGTAATGAAAAAATTGTTAGAAGATTAGAGTATACACGTTACATGTGTAAAATGCATGGCAAATCATATCCATACAATTCACTAAAAATCAACTATTTCGAAACTAAATATCTTTATACCCTAGAAGAAGAAATTAACATAGATTACTCAAATTCGAACAATAATTGTGAGTATGTGCGCCGAATTTTCTGGACCATGGACTTTCTGCCGAAGCAGGCCGTTACATATTTATTATAATAATTTATTTTTTTATAGTTGTCCACCGTCGATGTGAAATAAAAATCTATGAAGTGTATATTTACTTATGATTTTCTCATCTATGGTCAGTAATATAATTAAGTGCTTTGGAAGTTTGTGAACAAACAAATCATCTCTCCTCAAAAATAAATTTTTTCGGAGTGAAGAGTTTTGTGAAATTTTATCTAAAAAATTTTCTGATTACTTTTTTTTTTTTTTTTTTCGAATTTATGAGAAAATAGGAGATCTTTAATTTAACTAATTCTATTCATTAGGTGATGCACTTTTTTCCTTGCGCTTCTGCCTTGCCTCTATCTCTTTCTGCAGGTTTAATGGAGTATCAAACCTTAGTCAAATTGCGAGAGAATCATCCTCTGACCTGCTGAGATCAAATACAACAAATTCACCTTTGCAGAGATAGCTATTAATAACCATAGATGCGCCCTTTACATCATTAGTATATTGGCCAGCTATCTTGGACACGTCTTGATAACTGCTTCCCCCATTATATATTACTAGGAGAGAGATATTCTCACGAATAATAATTGGTACATGATGATATTTTTGAGTAACATAGCATGGAGAAATATTTCGATGTCGCCCATGTGTAAAAAATAGAATAATTTGATTTTGGATAGACTCGGGAGCAACACATACATTCTCAAAAATAATTACAGTGCTTCTCTCAGGTGAAAATGATTTCACACTAGGAATTTGTTCTGGTGATATGTAGCTGAATCTAATGTTTTCATAATAAGATGCTTTGGGATTACTTGCTATATTCTATACATATATCTAACAAATGCCCATTTCAGCTCATCATGATGGTAACCGCAAACTATCAAATTATTGCATCTAATATATCTGGATCCTCCTTTTTGTCTTTTATATATATGCTCACATTTATCTCCAAGAACAAAGTTTGCTAATAAATTGGTCTTATCTGTACCACTTCTTCCGCTGACTATCATGCTGAAAAGCCATGACATCGCTAGATGTCCAACATTTCAGAATGATTCGTGCTTTGTGGCCTCATCCATATCCATAAGGTAGAGTTTCATAAGTGGTAGTTCTTTTTTTTGGTTCTTTTGTATGACAGATTGGGAATCCATAACTCTAATTTTTATCTAAGGGTATTTTATAATTCAGAATATTTTTTTTTATTGAGAAGTAAAATAAAAGAATATATATAAGAGGATATGCGCCATAGAAAGTATATGATTAGTAATATCATTATTATGATAAAGACCGCATTCTGCTGAAAGAAGAAATTGGGTAATAGTAAGGTTGTTTTAGGATTAGTGATGCCATTACCTTTTTCTAGTCTGCTAACACCTCCAATTACTTCATTATACTTCAACTCACTGAATACTTTTAAAATCTGCTCTGCTAAATGAGCATTAGTTTCTTGAAAAAGGGAATCTTTCTCTAATAATGCCTTTTGTGCTGAAGCTAAATTATCCTTTATCTGCATTAATTTATTTCTTTCTTTAGACAGAGTTTCTTCTAACTCCATTTTTTTATAATTTAGGGTAGTGTTTTCAGCAGATAGTAATATCTTTTCTTGTTCGAATTCACGCTCAAGAGATTCTATTTCTGATAACTCATTCTGTGCTAAAGAAAGATCTTGCTCCAATTCTTTTACTCTTGATTGGAGAGCCTGTATCTCTTCCTCCATCTTGGATTGGAGGGCTTGCATCTCCTCCGATTTTATAGAAAATTTGCTTTTGGCATCTGCAAAAGAAATATCCTTGCGAGTAATCTGAAGCTTAAGGTCATTTATCTTTGAATGTAAATGTCTTATTTCATCTCCAAGCTTGGAGTTATCTATTTTTGATTGTAACCGCATTGTTTCTTCTCCAAGCTGGTGAACACGATCAGAGAGCTTCTCATTATCTTTTTTGAATTTATCAAGATCATCCTGTATGCGCTTATTTTCTTTTTAGATTTATCAAGGTCATCCTGTATACACTTATTTTCTTTTTTTGATTGATTTAGAGAATCCTGTATATGTTTTTTTTCTCTATTTAAGACATCGTAATTATCTGCAAACCGATTTTTCCAATATATAGCAACTTCACGATCTTTTTTTGCACAAGAAAGTTGCTCTTCAAGTTCTGTTCGGCTGGGAGGATAATAATTAGCTGGAGCATCTCCAAGTTTATTACCATTATCCAGATCTTTTAAAGTATAGATCTGGTATATTTTATTGGTATTTTTTTTTTCTTTAGATAAAAAAAAATTAGATAAATACCGCTAGAATTTTTGGCATTTGAAGCAAGATATTTTTTATAGATATTACTATATTTGATACACATTGGTGAGCATTGAAGCTTATTAATATGCATTGGTGGGCATTTGAAATATATCAATATATATTGAAAAGTATCAATACACACTGAAAAATATTAATGCTTATTGAAGAGTATTGATATGCACGCATTGATATGCATTGATATTTTATTGAAAAGCATTAATATTTTTTTTCTAGTATAATAATCTAGTGAAGATGGTAG